GGGGGCCACAGGGGTCAGCCACCCGAGAGCCGTCCCCCCACAGAATCCAGGCAAGGAAAAGGTGTATGTCCCCCCAAACCAGAGAAGAAAACCCTTATGTACGCTCACCCTCGTGTGGGAGGGATGAGAGAGAGCAGTGCTCTCAGGAGGGGGTCCCTGGCTGGCAGGGGACCCCCCCCAGGGACATGTGACGAACCTGACGACAGTTTGTGCTTTGGGTGCTGCCGGCAGGGAGCAGGACGGGTGCTGTGCCCAGGGCCCCCACCACAGATGTGTCCTGCTGGACAGACGAGCCACCGGGCCACTGGGGCCGCTGGGCGGGAAGGGTCTGCACGCTGGCTTGTGCCTCAGACGGGGCACCGCATCCACAAGGGCAGACAGGGCCATCTTGGCCAGAAAAATGCCAGGGTCACAGGGACTCACGGCCCTCCCCTTCACCACGACCCCCCAGCACAGGCCCCCGAGTGACCAGCTGAATGACTCCCCAGGGCACACACACACCCAGAGGGCCGGGCGCACAGAGCGGGGGCCCCCGGGGCCCCGCCACAGGCCAGCAATCAAGGCACCCCGGGCAGGGTAGGCTTACCGGACATGTCGTGGAAGCTGATGACCTGGTTCATCAGGGCGGTGGACAAGATGACCTCATCGAAGACGGGCACGCTGCCTCCCACCATGCCTGTGTTTCCCCCCTGCGGGTTCACGGCCAGGTTCCTCTCGTGACAGTGCCTGAGACATGCACAGGGGGCATCAGGGCCCCCCGTCACGCACAGCGTCATCCCTACAGGACAGCACGCAGGCCAACACCCGGCTGTGAGGCCACTAAACCTCGCTTCCGTACCCTCTCTTGTTGGCCGCAGCCCAGATGGGGGAGCCTCCTGGGTCCCCACGTGGGACGAGTCTGAGGAGGCCCGTGTCTGTCACAGACTGCACAGAGCGCGAGGCTGGCACTTTCCCAGATGCCAGACAGGGTGGCACGCGAGGGCGCCCCTCTTCGAACAAAGCGCCAGTGCCAGCTGCACCCCTGCTGCTCCCCAAGAGCCGCTCAGTTCCCAGCCCCTGGGCTCCTTTCCCCCCACCCCACCACGCTCCACACACGTCCACGTCACGGTGGCACTTCGTCCACGGCCAGGCTCCAACTCCGCAAAGGCCTAAGCGGAGGGCCCATAAGGGTGTGGCTTTGCAGAAGGAGCGCACCTGCCCGCGGGAGGCAGTCCGCGCGCGCACATCACGTGGGCCGCCCTGGCAGGTGGAGAGCCCCCCCGCGGTGGGCTGACGGTGAGTGTGCGTGGGCCCACGTGCGCTCACGGAGGCCATTCCGAAGCCGCGGTTACGTGAGCGTAAAGGTGCACGGCCCCGCTGCGTGCTCTCTGGCAGCTCCGGGAGGCCAGTGAGCTGCAGAGCACTGTGGGGTGCACCCCCTCACGCACTGGACGTGGCGTGGAAGAGTCCGCGCTGGGGGCACGACGCGAAGTGAGTCAGACGCAGGAAGGCAAACACTGTACGATCTCACACGTGGAACCCAGAAAACCAAACGAACAGAAACAGGCCCACGGAGGACAGAAGCCTGCCAGCTGGGGGGGCGCAGATGCAGAGGCACAAGGTCACAGTTATAACATACATCGGTCCCGGGAAGGAGGCACCCACGGGAAGTCAGGAACGCCGTAGGGACCTTATGGGGACCACACGTAGTCACGAGACCACCTGCTAACGGGTAAAACTATCAAACCACGGTGTCATCCCCCACAGGCCAACAGGACACTGCACGTCGATTACACTCCAACCTCAAAAACCGGCGTGGGAGAATAATTAGCATCTAGAAACAGGCGCGGACACGGCCAAACGGGGCAGGGGGAGAAGGCATCACATGACAGACACAGTCAGTAACAGTCAGAAACCACACCAAGGCAGATGAAACAGAATGTCATCGGCGGTTACTTCTGGAGGGAAAACACTGGTTGCTTTTGCCATATTTTCCTTTATGGTTGTCTATGTTTTCCAACTGTTCTAGAACAGGCACGACGGTTTACTGACATAAAGCCATCAAAGACGCCGTTTGCACGGCAAGGCCAATCCGCCGCCTGATGTCCGCAACCGCCCCCCCCCCCCACCCCACTCAGCTCCAGTCCGCGGGTGAGGCCCCTGCCCGGGGCGGGCTCCATACCTGAGGATGTGGGACACCTCCTCTGTCGTCCGCGGCCTCAGCAGCAGCACGCTGCTCCCTGCAACGCCAAGGAGCACGTCACACACGGAGGGCAGTGTCAGTGTACCCTCTGAGCGACGCTCCTCTGGGGGGCGACCCTCAGGGCACCGTTACCAACAAGCCCACAAACCTCAAGGACGAGAGCGGGGTGTCAAAAATGGGTCCCGTCTCAGCCCGCAGGGGGGTGGGGGAGACCCCCGCATCCACGTCCAGGCCCGGACCCAGGGCAAGGGGCGCCCGCCAGGCTCGTGATTCCCTAACTGTAACTCTCTCATGCGGAGACACTTGAGACTCCAAGTCTCCCATCGCTGCCCACACCTCCACCGCCAGTGCCAGCTCGGGGACGGTCTGCCAGAAGAGGCTCAGTCCATCCCTCGTCCATCCCTCCACCTGCCATTATTAGCTGACTTTCCACCCACAGAGGGGCTGCCCTTCCCTCTCACATACTTATTCGATCATATCCGTGGGGCCTCGTGGGCTCTTACTGGATGCACCAGCTTACACACCAGCCCTCTGCTGCCGTGACTGGTCTGACGCCCAGATGTGGCGGCAGGAGCCCCTCCAGGCCAGCCCATCGGTGTTCCTGACCACTGCCTCCCCCAGATGGTCAAGCTCCTCTCTGCCCCTTTGACTTTGTAAAAAGTACGAAAGTAGGCGAGGGGGCTTCAGAAAGGCAGGAGGCACGCTTCACACGGGATCCTCCCATCAGTGACTTTTCACGGAGCCTCACCATCTGGCTGTAGCTTTTATCTTACTCCTTTTTTTTTTAGGAAGGAGTAAGTTTTTTGGGTTTTGTTTGTTTCTTTTGTTTTCTTGAGGGAACTCAGGCACACATAGGGGAGAGGGGCAGAGGGGGAGAGAATCCCAAGCAGGCTCCTCATTCGGCATGGAGCCAGATGAGGGGCTCAGTCCCACAACCCTGGGATCACGACCTGAGCCGAAGTCAAGAGGACGCTCAACTGACGGAGCCACCCAGGAGCCCCAGGAAAAAGTAAGTTCCGAATATTTATTATCCTTGTTTTATTTTATTTTATTTTATTTTATTTTATTTTATTTTATTTTATTTTATTTTTTTATTTTTGAGAGAGGGGCTGACAGAGCTCGAGCAAGGAAGGGACAGAGAGAGAGGGAGACACAGAATCCAAAGCAGGCTCCAGGCTCCAAGCTTTCAGCACAGAGCCCGACGTGGGGCTCGAACTAACAAGCCGTGAGATCATGACCCAAGCCGAAGTCAGACGCTTAACCGACTGAGCCCCCCAGGCACCCTCTATTATCCTTGTTTTAAACGTAATTTAATTATATATCTATGTAACTTAATTTTTAGTAATGGCTGTGTTTTACAACTGGTCTGCAACAAAATTCTAAGAGTTTTTTTAAAGTAGGCCTCATGCCTAGTGTGGAGCAAACACAGGGCGTGACCTCTCGACCCTGAGATAAGGACCTGAGCTGAGATCAAGAGTTGGATGCTTAACCGACTGAGCCACCCAGGTGCCCCTCTAACAACTGTTTGATAACTGGCTGTCCAGAGCCAGGACAGGCCAGCTCCGGCACACCACTGCCCCAAGGCTCCAGGAGACCCTGGGATTGCGGGGACCACCTGATGACACAGGCCAGAGGGAGGCAGCCGTGGAGGTGCTGCTGGATTATTTCCGCGTTTTCTCTCGGAACGTGTGGGAGGAACCCAGGAAGGCATCTTCAGGCAGACTGCCACCAAGGTTCACTTAAATTCAGCTGTGTCCCCGTCTCCTTTCTTCCTTATCTGTGTGGAGACTCACGGGTTGAGGGCTTCACTGAGAGGAACAGAAAGGGGGAAAGCAGGAAAGGCTTCGCTGCAGAGGGAACAGAGCCAAAGCTCTGGAGGGGATGGGACAGGGAGGAGTAGAGGCTGAAACCCTCGGCCCTTCTGGCCATCTGCTCTCATCCTTGGACTAGAGGAAGCAGAGTGGGTGGGGAACAGACACCTTTCCTTGGTCCAACCAGCATAACTAGTAGTAGGCTCGGGCAGAGCTCCCCTACCCGCCCGGCTCCCACTGTCCCCCTCCAGGGAGTTCGTGACTCAACACCCCCCACCCCCCGCCCCGGGGAGAAGAGTGCCCTGAACAGGGGTGGCGGGCAGAGCCAGGATCCGAAAGGGGATCAGGGTGATGGAGGAAACACAGGATTACCAAATCATCCAAATAAAGTGCCCATCAGGGCAGAAGAGAGGGTGTTTCCCCATGTGGGCCCCTCTGCCCGTGCCGGCAACGGGAGGGGGTAGCAAGCTTCCCCAGAGCCTTCCACCTGGGCCCTCCGTGCCATCAGCACCTCCCAGACACTGTCCTCAGCTTCCTTCACACTCCGCTCAGGGAGGATTCTTTTCTGTTCTAATTCTTTCATTCTTTTTTCTATTTTCTGTTTCTCTAGCAGCTCATTGTTGTGAGTTACCTCCTTGAATTGGAGAAGACACATGGTTCCTACACCTTCGTGACATGCTAGTCTCATCCACCAAGGCCATGAGCTCTGTATCTGTAAGATGCGTGTGCTTTTTCGCTCCGTTTAGCTGTTCAGCCTGCACGTCTGCAAATCCCTCCGTCCGTTGAGAGCCACAACCAGCTGAGCTCAGCGAAGGCCTTCGTCGACGCCAGATCCGTGGGGCTGCCGTCTTGGCATCCTCTGTGCCGGGGTCACGTCTGGGATTCTGAAAGCCCCTTCTCATTCGGTTGTCATCAAACAAACCATGTCTGCCCTCCAGCCCTGATCTTTTGGGACAGCACAGTCCCGGGACCCTGGTCACCCGTGAAGACCCTGCAGGCTTCAGTCACCTACTGCTGGGATCCCAACGGTGTCTGTGTGCCCACCCTGTGTGTCGGGGCCTGCTGAGGGCACAGAGAATGAAAACAGGCAAGATGTCCCGCTCTCAGGACATTTACCTCCTAACGGGAGAGGAAATGCTCTAATATGTCAACAGCAGGCACCCACAGAGAGAACAGAAAATCATCAAAGACACGGCTGGGGACATGGCCCAGGACTGCAGGAAAGGGTGTCTGAGTGGAAGAGGCCCCAGAACTGCCCAAGCCAGCAAAAGCCGCACAGGGGTCAGGGCAGCACAGCATCCAGCCCGCCGTCTGCCAGCAGCGCCCTCACCCAGCGGAGAGCCACGGTCGGCCCAAGTTCTCGCTGGGGCAGCCGTTTCCTGCGGCTTCTGAGCCTTCCTGCCACCTTCTCCTTCCACCATCCCGACTCCCCGGCAGAAGCTGGCTCCTCTCCCGCACTCTGGATGCCACCGGGCTTGCGGGACGGAAGGCACCCACCTGGCCCACGGCCCCTCCCGGGTGTGGGAGACCGCCCTCCGCGAACGCACGTCACCCACCACAGCAGACAGACCCCAGGGCTCCCAACTGCCCCACAACAGACATGGCCCCGAGGGCTCCCAGCTGGCCATCAGCAAACCTGGGACTCTTCTTTCCACACGCACACCTGGCACCCGAGCCCATCTCTCCTGACGGCCCCTCGAAGACTCACGCTGTCCTCTGGGCTTCCCTGACTAGGCCGTGGAAGCCTGTGCCCCACGCGGCAGCCACGGTCAGGCCACGGGCCCCTCTCTTCCCAGGGCCTCCTAGTAGCTCCCCATCAGCTTGGGGGAGAAGCCAGGACCCACACGGCCCTAGAGATCTCGACGACTTAGCCCCTTGCTCTCTGACTTCCCCTCCCCTCCCCAACCCACCGCAGCTGCACACAGGTCTCACGACCCCACAAACACACCAAGCGTGGCCTTGCCAAGGGCTTTGCACTGGCGATTCCGGCCCCAGAACACCCTTGTGGGTGGCTTCCCGAAGCCCCGAGAAAACCGCCTGTGCTGGCCTCCCGGGCCCTCACGGCCACCTGGCGTGCAGCCCACCCCGTTCGTGCCCCTGTCCCTCAGGTCAGCCTCCTGTATGTCTTCACATTTGGGACCCCCAGACCCGCACTCGGTGAGGCGCTCACTAAATCTCTGGGGTTCACCTCTGAGCAAGTAACCTAATGTTTGGGTGAGATATTTAATGACAGCTTCTGTTTCAAATAAAGACTATGCTTTAAAAAATTATGAAGCTCTGGGGTGCTGGGGTGGTTCAGTCAGTTAAGTGTCCAGCTCTTAATTTCAGCTCAGATCATGATCTCACCGTCACGGATTCGAGCCCTGCATTGGGCTCTGCACTGACACCGTGGAACCTGCTTGGGACTCTCTCTCTCCCTCCCACCCCTCCCCTGCGTGCATGCTCTCTCTCACAATAAATAAACCTTTAAAAAAGAATCACGAAGCCCTAATCAGCATTTACTGGCTGTATCTTCTACACAACTCCAAGATTAAAATGTTAAAGTGTAGTTTAGTTTAGAGCTGCTTTCTCCCCCAAAGAAAGCCACGTCAAGGGCTATTTAGAGAAAAATTCAACAAACTATTTCAGTGGACACCCACCGCGTGGACGCTCGGAGGTGGGCTGGCTACAGTGCCAGCCTCTCGGGTCAGGGTCTCGGCAGCGGGGGGTCCCCCACGCAGGCACACACGATGTGCAGCCTTGCAGGCGGACAGGCCGTCCAGCGTGAGGCTCCTAGGAAGGGCCCCCAGGGGACAGCCCGCCCTTGCCCAGGTTGGGGAGGCACATGGTCTCCATCCCAGGCACCGTTTCCACCCGCTCTGGAGGCCCGGAAGGAAGACACCCCAAGCCTCGAGCACCAAGCACACTGGGTTCTTACCTCCAAGGTGGGAGCCCATCCCCCGTTTACGGGCAGTGGAGCTCAGGTCCATCTGGCTAAGGGCCAGCCAGGCAGCAGTGCCAAGCCGGACGGGGGCCTGGCCCGGCTGAGCCCGAGGTGGACAGCGCTCTGTCCTGTTTCCAGGAGCAGTGCACGTGAGCCTGCAGACCCTGTGCGGGTGAGGGGCTCTCGGTGGGGCCACATCAGCCCTGTGGGGTCCCCACTTAGCAGGCAGGGTGGGGCTGGGAGCCCTGCCACTCTCAGGCGCTTGGCCCGTAAAGAACAGGCCAAGGACTTCCTGTGTCTCCGGCCTCCTCACAGGAGCCGCCTACGTTGCCTGAGCCCACACCCTAATCCCACTCGCTCAAGACCACGCACCGGTTCAAGACGCACAGCATTTCCCAGCTGCTGTGGACCCTCCTTGGAGTTCTTCCCACCAATAGCACAGCCCTTGCAGGGGCTAAGTCCAGGCCCAGCCTGAGGACAGGGCTGCCCAGCCAATCCAGGCATTACGTATTTAAATACGTTACTTCGGTATATAGCAACCCAGGCCTTCCTAAAGAAGGAAGAAAGATACACAACCTAACCTTACGCCTTAAAGAGCTGGAAAAAGAGCAGCAAATAAAACACCAAACCAGCAGAAGACAGGAAATAATAAAGGTTAGGGCAGAAATCAATGCTATCTAAACCCCCCAAAAAAACAAACAAAAAAACCCCCCAGAAGAACAGATCAATGAAACCAGAAGCTGGTTCTTTGAAAGAATTAACAAAATTGATAAATCCCTAGCCAGTTTGATCAAAAAGGGAAAGGACCCAAATACATAAAATCAAGAATGAAAGAGGAGAGATCAAACCAACACAGCAGAAATCAATACATTACTTCATGGGGCACCTGGGGGGCTCAGTCACTTGGGTGTCAGACTTCGGCTCAGGTCGTGATCTCACGGTTCGTGAGTTCGAGCCCCAAGATGGGCTCTGTGCTGACAGCTCAGAGCCTAGAGCCTGCTTCGGATTCTGTGTCTCCCTCTCTTTCTGCCCCGTCCCTACTCATGCTCTGTGTGTGTGTGTGTGTGTGTCAAAAATAAACGAACATTTGAAAAAATAAAAAACTATAAACAAATACATTACTTCGTTGTAAACTGGTTGTCTCCTAGGTCTCTTCAATACTACAGCAAGGATGTTGTGATGGGTTTTGATCATTGTCTGAGTAGACGGGTTACGTTACCGCTGAAAACATTTCAGGAGAGAAGAGACTTACAAATTCTTTCTCGTGGGAAGGGTGTGCTGGGTCTGGACGGACGAGAACCACCAAGCAGGTGCCCAGGCGTGTGCTGGTGCGGACAGGTGTGGTGAGAGGAGGGAGGCAGGGGTGGCCAAACAGCAGCTCCACACCTTGTCCCAGTGACATGCCAGGGGCAGAGTGTCCACGTCCTGTCCCTCAGAACCTGTGCACCTGACCTCATCTGGGTAAGGGTGTTTGCACACGTAATTAGACCAAGGATCTAGAGACGAAATCATCCTGGATTTGGGGGGATGACAGGGGTCCTTACAAGAGAAGCAGAGGGAGACCTGAGACACAGACACACACGGGGAGAAGCCATGTGAGGATGGAGCCGGAGACCCACGGAAGCCATCACAACCCAGGGACGCCCGGGGCCACCAGGAGCTGGACAAGGCAGGAAGGAGCCTGCGCCAGGGCCTCAGAGGGAGCACGGCCCTGCCCACGCCTTGATCAGACAGACTACATCCTGCTGTAAACCGCCCAGTGTGTGGCTGTTAGGGCAGCTGCAGGGACCGGCACACCCCCCTCAGAGCAGCCAGGGGACACTGCTTTTATTCGCAGATGTCACATACCACCAATAAACCTCTATGAATTTTGTTCTCAGAACACTTTAAAACCACAGTACAGCTTTTCTTCAGTGTAAGAAAGGCTACACGGGGGCACCTGCGTGTCTTAGGTGGTTAAGGGTCTGACTTCAGCTCAGATCATGATCTCACGGTTCGCGGGTTCAAGCCCCGCGTCGGGCTCTGTGCTGACAGCTCGGAGCCTGGAGCCTGCTTCGGATTCTGTGTCCTCCTCTCTCTCTCTGCCCCTTCCCCTGTTCGTGCTCGGTCTCTCTCTCTCTCTCAAAAAGTAAAAAAAAAATAAAAATAAAAAATAAAAAAAAAGAAGGCATATGTGACAGTCACCCCGTGGTCCTCTACCCGGAGCTCAGTGCTGTCGTCTCTCCTCTCACTGCTAGCGCACACCGCCGTCCCCCTGAGGGACACCGTGTGCACAGACCCTCACTCACCTCGGACGGTTCGAAGCCAGTCCACATTTGAAGCCTCCAGCACCTCTGGGTCTGTGATGACCCTGCCGGGGACGATGCGTTCAAAGGCTGCCAGGTCTTCCCCAGACACCACGGAGAATGGCAGCCGCCTCACAGGGTAGCGCTCCCGGGTCAGCATCACCTCCGGGGCCCGGGGGGACGTGGAAAAGCCACTTCTGTAGACCCGGGGGCTGGTGGCCGTGGCTCCCCACGGGCTGCCCAGCCTGGGGATCCTGGACACCCCTGCCCATGTCCTGTGCTGCACAGAGGCTCCCAGAGTGCACGCCGCCTGCCGCCAGAAGCGCCACCCAGGCTGCACCAGATGGGGTGCCATCGCCCTTGCCCTACAAAAGCAAGGGATGGGACCTGTGACTCTGAAACACTAGGACCTGGGAAGAGACAAGCACCTGCCCGGAGAGGAGCCGGAGGCGTCCAAGTCCGGGCCAGGCCCAGGAACAGACCTGCTGTCCAGCGGGGAGGCGGTCCGAGAGCAGGGGCGCTGCCCTCGATCCTGACCCGGGTGTTTTCCTGCAGGACCCCCCCTCTCGGGAATGCCCTGAGCTGCACACCTGGCTGGGAGCCAGCTGCGCCACCCTCTGACAGTCTGACATTTGCCGTCACAAACCTGTCTTTTGGCCCCCTCGCCCTTCAGGACTAAACCAGGACTGAAGACACGAAAAGGGTGGAAGCCACTGAGTACAACTGACAATGGTTGGAATGGTACGTTTTATGTCGTACGTGTACGTTACCAAGTGTAAAAAGTGTAGCAAAGGAAAGGGCGGGGTAGGGAAGCTTCTCCGGCTGCCAGCCGAGCTGCAGGCGACTTTCGACGTGTACAGGGAGCCCCCAGACCTACCCAGGCGAGGGGACAGGGGACGGGGACGCGCCCCTCTTCTGGAGCTCAGACAACCTGAACCGGCGCGCGGGCCAGCACTGCCCGCGGGGTTCACCAGCGCTGTGCGACCTGGGGAAAATGAGCGCGCCTCTCCGAGCCTCCCCGCGGCACGCGCGCCACCGCCAGGGGCCGAAGAACGAGCGCGCGGGCTCGAGCCGCGGCCGGGAGTCGGGCCCGCGCACCCACGTGACGGCACGTAACCCGGCGGGCTCGCACTCGAGAACGGCCTCGGCGCGCGACGCCCCCAGCCCGCCGCCCCGACTCGCGGCCCTTCAGCCACAGACCCCCGGCGGCCGCGCGCACGCACTCACGTCCGCGTCCCCGTCCCGCCGCTGCCGCCGCCGCCGCCGCCGCAGGCCTTGCGCCGCCAGAGCCACGGCCGACTGAGCCTGCGCACCGGCGTCCCTCCGATCCTGCTCTGGGCCCCGCCCCCGCGTCTTCTAGGCCCCGCCTCCCGCGAGACGGGCGCCCTCCAAGCCCTGCCCCCAGGCCTGCGGTGCGCCCGGTTGCGTGCCCGGGTCCTCTGCGCATCGCGGGCAGAAGGCTTTGAACCGCTTTCGGCACGCCTTGCAGGGCTCCCCCCACATCCTCCCACCCCTTCCCAAGGCCAGGTCCTACCGTGGCCCGCCCTGACTGTC